TCCACTGTACAAAAAATTCTTCATAAAGAAATGTGGGCCACAATGCATGGTAAGCCTAGAACACCTTGCTATGACAAAAAGCAAGGACTCAGACCAATAGTTCAAAATAACTCATGAACAGTTTAAGGTGCTAGCCAAATTTGGAAAAATTACAATAATTTAATCCAATTTTATAAAATCTATAATCCTACATTGATACTCAAGAGATAAAGGACTTAAAGGACTGGAAGTACTTCTTTGTAGAAAAATGTCAGCTAATAAATACAGATGGAATACTAGACAGAAAATGCCCACTTGCAGTTACCATTGTAATAAAATAGTGATCATCAGTGATGCTAAAATCATTAAGAGAACAGGACATCCAAGTGGCTCTATTTCTTCCCAAATTACTTAAAGAAAAAGATGCTTTCACAATCAGAAATACCTGGAACACCAGGTGATCAAACAGCTCTGGCAACTATGTAACAAGAACATGGGCCTTCTAGGATGCAGTGATACATACAACAAGTCATCGGTACAGTCTTCTGTCCAAGTGTTTACACTGAACCCAGCCTGTAGCCTATGACAAACAACCCCATTGGCCTGATTTTCAAGTGTCAATTTCATAAAAGGATTTTTTTACTCAAAACTACAGATACATAGTCAAATGTCTTTGACTCAGATTCTGGTTATTAAAAAGCTAAAATTGAGAGTTTTAATGCACAAGGCACATTAGAATCTAGGTAATTCTGTATGAATGTTGAATTGCTTAGATGTGCTAACTATTATAATCATGTCTGTCTCCCCTTTATTTGTTTTGTTTTGTTGCAGCACTGGAGATTAAAGCCAGGGCCTTTGCACTGTGCTATATCCCCAGCCTGTTTTTATTTTCAGGTAGGGTCTTGCCAAAATTGCAAGAATGAGCTCAAACTTGAGATCCTCTTGACTTAGCTCCCTGTCTTTACATTTAAGAAATACATGCTATAATCAAATTCAGTTGTGTGGCTGGACAGAAAGTCAATACTCAAAAATCAATAGCATTCTTGTATACAAACAACCAACTTATTCAGAGAGACATTAGGGAACCCACACCCTTCACAATGGCATCCAAAAAAATGAAATACTTAGGAAACAATCTAACCAAAGGAAGTAAAAGATTTATATATTGAAAATGACAGTACTTTCAAAAAGGAGATCAAAGAGGATATCAGAAAATGGAAAGATACTCCTTGCTCATGGATAGGAAGACCAAATATTGTGAAAATAGCCATACTTCCAACATTGTTATACAAACAATGCAATCCCAATCAAAATACCACTAGCATACCTCACAGAAACAGAGAAAATACTCCTAAAATTCATCTGAAAGCAGAAGAGACCCAGAATAGCAAAGGCAATCCTGGGCAACAAAGACAAGTCAGGAGGCATCACAATCCCTGACTTGAAATTATACTACGAAGCTACTGTGATAAAATCTGCATGGTATAGCAAAAAAATAAATGTGCAGACCAGTGGAACAGATTAGAAGATGCAGACACAACTACAAACACACTCAGCCACCTTATGTTTGACAAAGGGGCCAAACATGTAGTGGGAGACGGGCTGATTTCCACAAAAGACCCAAGGATTCAATTTTAGGGAAGAACAGTTTATTGTATTTAGACCAGTCACCGCACATCCCAGACTTGCAGGTCAGGAAGGTGGGTGGCTGACCTTACTTTGTTTTAACCTTAAATACACCTTTGGTTTCTATGGTAACAGACTGGAATGTTGCAGTGTTGACATAGGTGGCCACATGTTGTTTTCCTTGTCCCACATGACCAGGTCAGGCCCCGTCATGAGCCCAACCACAATGATACACAGTTTCTGTACTCTCTTCTGTATGTCCCCCTTTAGATAACCATACATTTCCTTTTTGGTTACAATGTTTATCTAGGGCCAGGGAAGGGATGAAACAACCCAGGCAGGGTCATAGGTAGTTATCTGGGCCTGGGTGTTCCCTGTCTTTGGAGAAGCATTCCAGGGCAAAGTCAACTGCAAAGTTAACTTTTTACAACGCCTCTGGGATGTTTCTCAAGACACATTTTGAGGCTTGTACTAAGACTAGAATTATTCTATCTTAAAAATGATATGCTAAGAGTCGCTGTCCCCTACACATGTTCAGTGGAAGAAAGCCTCATTAATAAGTGGTACTGGAAAAACTCTACAATACAAGCTGAAGACTAAAACTAGACCCATGTCTATCACCATGCACTAAAGTAAAAATGGATCAAAGATTTAAATATTAAAGCAGACAAACTAAATCTAGAATAGAAAGGAGGTAAAAATCTTGAAGACATAGGAGTAGTCTTCATGAACAAAATCTAAACTGCATGGGAAGCACTACAAAGTATCAACAACTGGGAGCATGTCCTATTAAAAAGCTTTTGTACTTCAAAAGAAATCACCAATAAAGTGAAAAGGCAATGCACAGAGTGAGAAAACATTTTAGCTAACTGTCCCTCAGACACAGGACTTATATCTAGAACATATAAAGAATTGAAAAAACTCAGACCGCCCCCCCAAATTCAAAGACCCAATCCAAAAATGGGCATCAGAGATTAATACACACTTCTCAGATAAAGAAATACAAATGGTAAATAAATACATGAAAAAAGTTCAACATCATTAGTCATTTGAGAGATGCAAATTAAAACAACACTGACATTTCATCTCACCCCAGTAAGAATGCACACCATCAAGAAATCAACCAACAACAAATGCTGGAAGGGTTGCAGGGAAAAAGGAACTCTTCTCAGCTTTGGTGGCAATGTAGACTGGTGCAACCACTCTGGAAATCAGTCTGGAGATTCCTCAAAAAATTAGGATTAGAAGTCCCATTTAACCTAGCCATTCCCCCTTTGGGTATTTTTCCAGAAGAACTAAAAACATCATACCACAGCAATATATGTGCACCCATGTTTACAGCAGCACAATTTGTCCTAGCAAAATTTTGGAAATAATCCAAATGCCCATCAACTGAGGAATGGATAAAAAAGATGTATTTTTATACAATGGAGTGTTACTCAGCTATAAACTTGAGGCTTTTATAGGTAAATGGAAACAACTGAAGTCCATACTCATAAGTGAAATAAATCAGACCCACATGTGTAAACATCATATTGTCTCTCCAGTGTAAGAACCTAAAAAAGTAAATAAAACTGAAAGGTACAATAGATATGGTGAAAGGGAAAGAAACTGCTTAATAGGAAAGAACAACTGGGATGAGGGAAAGAAGGAAAGAAAGAAGGGAAATACACACACAATAGCTAAGATAATAGTACTACTAATTTCTATTGGTTTATTGAAAGGAACAGTTAATGTTTAATTGTTTGATCAATCTTGCATACTTATATCTGGTAATCTGAGCAACTATTTTCAGGATAATAATAAGTAAAACAACAACCACTGTTTATTTCCTATCATCTTGTTTTGAAATTCTGTACCATTTTTATAGTTTTTGGGTTGTTTTGTTTTTGTTCTTTTCTCTTTAAAATAAAAAAAAAAAATTAAAAGAAATATTTGTTAAAATAGTAATGGACGAAGTATGATGCACCTTCTTTCAAAAGAAAAGTGCTACTGCTTAGTGGTAGAAGACTTCCCTAACATGTGCAAGGCCCTTCCCAAAAATGTGCTTATACAGATACGAAACAAAGATGGCAAAATAATAATTGCTGAATACAGGTAAATGATACATGTTATTTATACTGTACTTTCAACTTTAAGTGGAAGTAAAAAATATTTTTATAGGAAGAAATAACAGATCATATACACTCTGTACATCTGGAGGCTTCTGGAAAGTAAACACCCTGCTATAAACTTAAACCAAACTCAATGAAAAACCAAAAGTGATTATAGGACAGGCTGAGGAATCAAACTAAGATGGCAAACTACTAAACCTCCTTTTACCTATTTACTTAGATATGTAGCTATCAAGTATTTAAAAAGTGTTAGTGAAGAGGTTCTAACCCACAAATCTATTGTATCAGCAGATAGTGAACAAAGGGCAAACATATTTCCCTTCTTTTACATTATTACTCCAAGGGGGCTAGAGAACTAGCAGGAAAAGAAGTTATCTTAAAACTTAATCTTAAGTATATGCAGACTTGCCTTGTAAAAAGCTGCTAGAACAATGAAACTATGTTCTGTTGACTAAATCTACAATTATTATAAATATTTGCTATGGTTTAGATCTAAAATGTCCCCCGAAAGTCTCATGTTCAGAGGTGGGGCTTTTAGGTGAGTGGATCATGGGCACACTATACTCATCACTGGGTTAATTCACTGATAGGTTCATAGCTCAAAAAGGTAGTGTCAGGAGGTAGGGCCTAGTTGGAAAAGGTGGGTTCGTGGGACCATGACCTATAAGGAGGCATTCTTGTTCCCACCTCCACCTCCTGTCTGTGCTTTCTGGCTGCCATTTCTGCCTTAGAGCCAGCCAACCATAAACTGAACCCACTAAAACCGTGAGCCAACCTAAACCTCTTCTCTATTAAGTTATAGATGTCTGCTATTTTGTCCCAGTCATGAAAAATAATGTAATTTATAATCTGATAGACTAGGGCCCACACTGTTTAAAAATCCCCCCCAAAAAAGCACTATTACAGTGTAATGTTTTTATCTTTTTCCCACAAAACTATCTAGATTTTCTTCCTTGACCTTATTTTCTAATAAGAGAAACTGAATAAACCCATAACTGTTAATTCTACTATCAGAATATAAAATGTTCCCCTAAATATTCAGTGTTCTCAGTCTTAAAAGCTCTCAAAAATATGGCTGCATCTCAGATGTTGCTGACAGATTAAGCACAATACTACAATTATAGGGTGGCCATTCCTGAAAAAGTATTTGTGCTCAAATGATCATGAGTTTGTTTCTGATTATGAAATCGGCCTCTCCATTTCCACCAATTCCCTCTCAAAATCCCAATTCCCTCTCAAAATCCCAAACAAAATGAAGGAAAGTTAATCACTACAGAGCAGTATAATTATTTAAACTTTTTAATCTCCCTTTACACATTATATTAACATTCATATTACAAGGCATTCCATTCACAAATATTACAGTTTGATAAAAACTTTACACACATACCCCAAAAGCCTATACCAGATTTAGTCACTTTACTAAATCATTAAAATAATAAAAGTAATGAAAACATCATAATTCTCAAAGCAATAAGGTCTGAGGCACTCTGGGAAAGATGTTCTTTTACAAGTATAATGTGTCAGTGGTACCAAATTACTAGAAAGTCATCAGACACCCAGTAATCAAGTACACTACACTGTCTACTGACAAAGACTTTATGATCTATCTTCAGTGTACACTTCTATCTAAACAATTGTTGAAAGAAACATAGATATTGGGCAACCAAGGCTATTTCTAATGAGGTTCTCCATTATGAATAGGTGGTATGTATTTTCAGCACACCACACACAGCAGTATCCCTATGCAAGGTTATGATACTCAAAATGTCCCTTCCTCATCACTATTAGGTTTACTAAATGTCAGGTTCTCATAGCCCCCTGATTTACTGTGCTCACAGCCAGAAACATTTTAGAACTCTTTCCCATCATCCCACAGGGCAACCTCTACCTTTTTTCAGTGTCTCCAAGGCATGCCCTCAAAATAGGAGAGGAGAAGTAAAAGGGCTTGTCCTTTCCCATTTCTGACCAATAGAATTCTGAAATGGCAGCGCATTGTAAACTTCTCATGCCTTTCAACATCACCCAGCACTTAGAACATAACTATTTTTGCCATAAGCTAGACTTCTAAAAGTTTGATATGCTTCTGAACTGAATGTTACCACAGTCATCTGGTGACCCAAAGTGGACACTGGGAAGGTCTCACTGAGTGCTTCCCTCCACACAATTACAGGTATAAACAATTAGCAAGAAGGACAGAGAGGCCAATTCCCAGCTAGAAATTAAGTCACTATAAACTATGCATCCATTTATGACAGCAAATAACCCTGCCAGAACAGAATTAACCTAAACCAAAGGTCACATGGTGTTCTCAATTGTGTATATGGAATTTAAAATGTATACATATATATATTTCCAAATATATATAAAATAAAAAATCTGGAGCAACAGATGTTGCTAGAGTTTCAAGGATTTTCATTTTCCACATTCACTGGAAAGCAGCTGGCTCCTGATGGCCAGTCTATGGCAGTGCTAAAAGCAACTAGACGAAGCTTTAAGTGAAAGTGCTCAAGGGGCAAATGAGAAAACAGGTATTCAGAAAACAGGGGCTGAGGAGAATATTAAAAGGAGTTAAGCAATGTTTCCTTTATTCTTCTCAGCTTTTTCAGACTCAAGACAAGTTCTTGAGGATTCACACCAATGCTGTACAACACTCTTATCAAAACAAAGTAAGTGATTAAAAAATTCCCTCTTCCTTTCTGTACTCTCAATAAAATGCATAGTACAGTAAAAAGGTATTTTTGAGATGTGTCATCTTGGGAGAAATTAAAATTAGGACATGAAGTGAGGCCGTGTACTATCCAGTCGCCGGGTCAGGATCTCACAGCCAGTGTCTGTTACCAGCAGAGTATGCTCAAACTGAGCAGAACGCTTTCCATCTCTCGTCACCGCGGTCCAACCATCTGGCCAGGTTTCATCTTGCCACCCACCTTAAATAAACAAAAACTACCTCTCAATTTCATCACTCAGTCTGCAAAACAAAACTCTCTAGGTAAACACATACTAAGAAGAAAACCAATTAGAAAATTCAGTATTAAGAAGCCTATCTTTTAATTGGTTAGCCTTACCAAATTCCTTGGGTGTGACACAATTTCACATTTTTTGTATTTCCCAATATAAAATAAAGATGGCATTTTCAAAATAAAGGCACTAGACTTAATTTTAGAAAACACAATAATACTACCCATCGTAGAACCATGAGTAAAAACTTAAATAAATTTAGCTTTTTTCTGATATAACTTTGGCATCTGACTAAACTATAGCTGGTGTTAGTAAGGATATCATGTAAACTATATCATGTAAACTTTTGTACTTTTATTGTAACACTTAATTCCTAATATGATTTTTAAATAGAAGGCACACAATCAGATGGTGACAAGAGATTATACTGCCAAATTTTTATAAACCATACTGCTACAACCAGAAAGATAGGCAAAAAGAAAAAAAATAAGGGTTAGTAAGACGATTAGAAAAATACAGTGATGCAAAATGAACTGAAAAGGCTGAAACTAGAGAAGAGATATGAAGGTACAGTGAAAAGCTAGAAGATGAGAAAAGAAAACAGAGGTACAAGGCAGAGAAAGCAGGAAGATAAAACACCTAAGAATCTGAGGCAGAGGTGGGATGAGAAAGGCAATTCTGAACACTACTATAAATATATAATACTGAGACTTCCTTATTTCAAAATAAAGATGTCAAAAAAAATCAATATATTAAGTAATCTTCAAATGAAATATATCACTTTGACCCCTCACTGACTCAGACAAATCCCAAAATATACTCAGTAGTCATATGTAATCTAGTTTTGCAATATTGTATGTCAGGCTAAAAAGAAAATTTGAGGCAGCTCAAGAAAGTTAATTCATGCTTTGTTGAACATGAAAAGTTGAGTAAATGGGTTATTTTTTAATGTAATGATCCTTATTTACACAAATGGATTTAAAACATGTTACTGCTTTGATTATGATTTGATAAAAACAGGTTCTATAATAATGTCAAGTTAAACATGCTTGGGTTCTACTCAGAAAATTTGAGACTTTCTATTCCAGAGCTGGGATTTAACCTGCTTGAGTTAAACTTAAGTTTTTCTGTTATAATCTGATTATTTGAACTAGTTCTTTAGAAAGGTATTTGCTTACTTCTGGAAATACTATATTACATCTCACCAATCACATGCCATTTAATGAAAGTATGCAACTAAATGCTTTCCTCTCACTGCCTTTCTTTCCACTGTTACCATGTCTCACAAGTGGATTCTTTTGATCAGAACTTTATTCTTATTCTGCAATGACATCAGAAACACTACATTTGTCCTTAAAATAGGTAAGGTACTTTATATTAATATAAAACAACTCAGTTCTTACAGTAGCCCCCGGGTGCTGACTAGATAAGGATTGCCAGTTTCATTTCAAGAATTAGGTTAGCAATGCCTCCTGTGATCCCACCTCCTGGTATCATGACTATTTGATCCACTCTTCCTGAGTGTGGCCTAAATTTAATGACTCATTTCTAAGAAAGAGAACATGGAAATACTCTCACGATTATGCAACAAAAAGACTAGAAGGACACAGAAAAGAGGTATCCTTTTTACATAGGGCAGAGACACACTGCCCTACTATTAGTAACTCATTTTGTATCTTGTAAACCCATCAAAGAACTAGCAAAGAACAATCCAGCTCTTTTCTGATCATCACTCTGAGAGCTCAGTGCTTCTAACACTAAGCCTTGGAGCACCGCCACATGCCTGTCATGGAATCCCAATAGTGTGGACAACTATAGCTAAATTTGTTGGCACTGAGCTTTTTGCACAATTCTTTGTGATGCCATAGGGCAACATGAGGGCAAACTCTGAAGCGAGGGCAGCTCAAAGGTTGAGAGTCAACAAATTCTGCCACATAAGCAGCTAAGTGACTGGGACAAGCTAGCCTCTGGAACAATCAGATTGCTCTATATAACAGGGACAACATTTTGCTTATATTCTATGCAGATTTAAATCATACAACTGTGTCTGCCTCAAAATGGATGGCTCAACAAATACTTTTCTCTGTGCCTCTTTCCCCTCCTCGCAAGAACTTCTACACAGACTTGGCATATGCTCCTAACTATTTGATCTTCATGAAGTGACCAGGAGCCAATTATTTTGGCACCTACTGACAGCAAAAGAATTACCACATAGAAAATATCACCTTGCCAACACTTAACAATGTTCAATTCTTTACATTTAAGTTTGAGATAGGATAGGAAGCAAGTATGAAGGAAGCAAAATGGACTACTGATCTGATGGGTAATTAAGAAACAGACAAAAATTCAACTGAAAAATATTACAGCGTGTTTTCTCACCTTCACAAATCATTGGCTCGATTGTAAATACATGGCCCGACTTCATCACTCCAACAGCCTTATTTTCTGGAATTAAAGGGAAAAAAGCCTCAAAAGATAGCAAAAACCAAGTGTTGAACAGATCACAAGAGTATCAATGAAAATTCCCAACAGTGATCCTTAATTACTTTCTACTCCCCTGATTCTCTTTGTTAAAGTACATCATTCAACACATAAGTGGCATGCCAGTAATCACCTACTTTGAAGCAGATTATTATTATTCTAGGCAAATTTCATTTTGCTTATGTTTTCTACATTAAAATATATGGACACCCACTAGCTGGATTTCAGACTGATTATTACTTCTATAAAAGAGAAGTACTTCTAAATCAAGTACTGCAGATTAGAAATGTAATCACAGAACAAAGCCAAGTGCCATCACTCATCCATGTCTAAAAGAGGTTTGAATGGCAGGTGTTTTGAACTATGCCGTAAGTTTCATACCTCTATGGAGGTAAGGAGAATGTGGCTCTATGTAGGGTCACAGCCTATAACAGCTATTACTGTATATGATTTTCATTGTTTTATAAAACTGTCTTTTTTCTCACCTTAAAATGAGAACAAAGTCTTTGAACCCTAGTTTGGTTTTTTTTTTTTTTTAAATCTCCAAAGAGACATTCCATTTTTGTTGTGTCTGGCTTTTGGTTTGTTTTATTTTGTTTTTTACCTTCTCTCCAACTTCACTAATATTTTATAGGACCAACATGAAAAACACAATTATGAATTAAACTGTCTAGATCTCCCACTTCTTCAAAAAGGTCTAAGAACTTTAAAACAGGGATAAGGTCTTTTTAAATAGTCTTAGACAAAAATGGAAAACTCCTTTAAATTTCAAATTAAAAACCAAGAATTGATAAAGCTATCAGGTAAACAAGTGACTGGCACTTACGCAACTTGACCACCAGATGGCGAAAGCAGCAGACGTTCAGCTTACTTCCCTCTGTCAGGTTGTGAGCCACAGTGGACCTGCACACATCTACTGAACTCAACCACTGAGCCCACTCTTTCTAGGTATGGTCTAACCTCACCCTCACGTTTACATCAGGCCAACAGCTACCATGCTGATTTCCTAAACACAATCACTATAGATTACAAGTTTCTACATTTGTATAAAACCTTTAAAGCAATAGATAGAGTAACCGATCTGGATTTTTCGTACCTAATCTCACAAACTTTCTCTCAAAATAATACACAACTTACTACAAACACAGAAGTAGTCTATAGTCCCAAGAGGATAACAACAACAACAAACAGTCAAGAATGTCTGTGCAGTGCTACAGACAGAAAACAAAGGATGAAGGCATCTAGAGCCCCTGTGTTCCCTCCCACAGCACCAGTCTCGTATGCAGCTATTCGGTGCCTGAAAAGTAGCTCGTCACAAACAGGCAGGCTATCCATGTAAAACACTGCAAATTTCAAAATCTGAAGCAGTATGTAACTTTGTCTCACTAATTTTACGCTCATTAAGTGCTGATAATATGTTATATATAGTATTAAAATAAATTTCATCCATACTTTTTAATTTGTAATGTGGAAACTTATAAATCATCGATGTACCTAATATATTTCTACTGAACAGTGGTGATAGAGAATCCATGTTTCATTCCTTTTTCTGTTACTGATTTATTATTCTATAAAAGTTACAACTCCTACTCATTTCCAAGAGTCTTAAAGTTTGTGTTTCTCAACATATCTCACTCAACAAATATAGTACACAGTACCTGAGGACTGCACTATTGCAAGTGGAATGCTAGGTACTTCTTTAGTACCGATGGCTGTTCCATCGATCTCAGAAATACTGTAATGTATCTTGTAAGTATAGGGTGTATTATTTTCTAACAATTATTAACTGAATTAAAGTAGCAAGCAAATTCACCTATCAAAGACTTTTTTCACATTAGAAGTGGTAGACAGAAATCATACAACATTTACCTGATTCTTCTCTCATTTGGGTTAAGAATATAAAGTTACAAACCAAGCGGAGATTAACATTTCAAAAGGTATCTCTACTATACAAATAATAATTATGATGATGATGATATAAATCTCTTACCAGGTTCCTAAGTGATTTCCCTATGTGATCACAACATGTCTTGATTAAATAAACCCAAATTACGCTTGACTTTTCATAAATATATCAAACGTATAAAATGAAGTGTACCTGGTCCTTGCTTCTTTTTTTTAACACTATTGTTTACCTGTAATTAAATACTTTCGTATGAAACTCAGGTAGCATCTCTTGTTCGTCAGTGGCACTTTGTGGTATCACTATCATGGGTCCCTATCTCCTATTCTATTCATAAACTTTATTGTCTGAGTCTCTCTCTCTAATCCATACCCAAACCCAAGTTTTGTTGCCTCCCCATGCTAGGGAATGTTTTTTATTCCTTCTCTGCCCATTCTCTCACACATACACACATAAGAATCAGAACAGCTTCTTCTGTGGGGCACTGTGCATGCTTGTAATCCTAGCACTAGGGAGGCTGAGAAAGGAGGATCACCATGAGTTCAAGGCCAGCCTGGGCTACATAGTGACTTCAGAGTCAGCCTGAACCACATACACAGCAAGACCCTACCTCAAAAAAACAAAAATAAAAAAATAAAAGAAATAAATTTGTTGAACAGCATGTACCTAATCTTTGGATAGTACTTACTGGCATAATGGGGTACATTGGGAGCTGTATGAAAAAGCTTATGAATTCCATGCCCACAATAACTTCGAACAACTGAAAATCCACTTGCTTGAGCATGCTTCTGAATAATGTTTCCCAATTCTCTGTATCGAACACCAGGTTTCACTAAAAGAAAAAGAGGCAATTCATGACAAAGAATAGTAATATATAACACTAAAAAGCTAATATCTTTGTGTCAAGGATGTTTGTAAGTACTTTATATGTCTTCATATCTAAATGTACAGGTGAGAAGACTAATGCACAGAGAGGCTATACAGCCACTAAATGGCAAACAGTTCTTCCTTTAATGCCAGAAAAGGAGGATATCTTGCAATACTATGGAAGTGTGAACAAGCACCTTTTGTCTTCTCTACTAACAGACATCAAACAATAAAATAAAACTACATTTCTCTTTACATTCTTCTCTAAGGTCAATATTCTAGTCTAGTCTAGTCTACTCCATTCTATTCTATGGAACAGAAGAGTTAAGAGAGGAAAGTGTACCAGGAGAAAAAGGTATGTCCAAAAAATGACTTGTTTCAAGTTGCAGTGTGGTCAACTTCTGAAAGAATTACTTCCCCTGGGCTTCTTTATCCCCATAAAAATGGTTTTCTATTCATAGTTGCCTCTGCAACAGGTCCTAGGGCACAGAAAGGTATTTTTCACTATATACTTACTCTTAATTTTTATGACTTTAGTACTGACATCATAAAGAACAAAACAAAGAAATGGTTCTCCTTGCTGTTAAGGCTGTCCTAGCACTAAGATCTCAGGAGTGGAGCAATGCCACAGACTCCCGGAGAATCAAGTCATGGTTCTGGATATCCTCTAACTCGTACAATCTCTCAGTCTGATTTCCAACCAGAGGTTCAGCTACAACATAGTTTCCCTATCCTATCAAATTTCTGGTTTAATAGGTTAAGGCGTTGTATTTTAACCAACTTTTTAAATTCCTCTTAACTATACATTTCATATGTTGACTTTTTTGGTAGGAGGAAAGGGACTTTCAATTTCTATCTGCATTTCAAATAATTTTCTTTCACTCCTATCAACCCTGGTTTGAGGCTGTGAGGACACACAACAAAAATTTAACCATTCTGCATAGTTACGATAAAGAAAATCCCCATCCAACAGTGATGACACAACGATGGCAAAAAAGTCTTCCCTGTCAAACTAGAACCAACTCTAGTCCCAAGGGTAAGATCTGCAGAGATTTTTGCTCATCCCACAGAGTGGTGGTGTGACTGATATCCAGTGAACAGATACCAGGCCTTAGGTTAAGCATCTTCCAATGCAAAGTCCTTATAACAAAGCATTGCCAGGCTCCCAACTTGCCATTAATGCATACATTCAGAAACCCTACTCTAGAAAAGTTCATTTCAACTTTTCAAACTCTGTAGTGCTCTACACAAGGATAGGGAACACATTAAATGAGTATTTTAAACTATGGGGGAAAGGAGTAAATGTTTACAATGCTACGGACAGTACTTTCCAAATTTCAAGGGCATTTTGATACTATGAAATATATATCCATTAAAAGAACAAGGTAGCTCTATGTATGTAGGTACATATAATACTGAAAGATTTCTAAGATATTAGTTGAAAAAAATTGCAAATTACAGAATATTACGAACATTACGATTCCCTTTAAACACATACCATAGTTGTGTGTGGCTTAAAGTACAAGAGGAAGGAAAAAACCTAGGTGTTAACAATGGGTACAATACCTCCAGAGATGAGAAAGGGGTATGAAAAGCAGAGAGGAAACAAAGGTAACTTCCTCTTTAAAATCTTCCATCTTAATTTTCTATAAAGAGAACATAATCCTCACATAACTCAGAGAATAAAAAACTAGAAATAAAAATTGCACTGAAGAACCATCCACACACTCCTCCTCATTTATCAGGCAAAGGAACGGAAGCTGAATCTCAAAGGAGGCAGAGTGCTAAGCAATCCTTTCATCCACCCTTGTCAAGGGATTCCCAGATCATCTTTAAACCCATTCACTGCAAAAATCCAAAGCTAACTCCCGTGGCAGAGAGTAGAGGCAAAAGCAGTAGGCACAGAAAACACAGCAGCACAAAGACAAATCACTCACAGCCCATCAGCACACAGCAGTGCCAGCAGGGCCCTGGGTGGAGGCTGACCTGCATCAATGGCTTGCATCAGGCACTCGTATGTTGTCTGCACTAGTTTCCGTGCTCCCTCATCCACATCGCCAACAAAAAACGTCTCATTCAGGTCCCCATGATAACCATTGCGGTAAAGAGTGATGTCCACTGCAAAAGAATATGCAAATATAAAGACACTTATTTTCACTTCAAAATAAGAGTAGTTCCATTTCACAATAGGAAGTTTTTCCACTATGAGAGCATCAAGCAACTTAATAAAAAAAATACACCTACTACAGTCTCAGATTATACACCAGTGAATAGATGCTTACCACTGAACAGGAACTCCTTGACGGTAGTTCACTAAGCTCACTGTGGAACACAGGAATATGGCCATGCAGCACACGCCATATGGTGGGTTATTATACTAATTAGATCATGTGTAGCAAAAGAAAAAGTGAAGCAGGATACAATTATCAAGATAAATAACAAGGATTAGTAATATTAAACTGAGGACTCCACTACGTTTTTACATTAAATAAAAAATATTTTCACTTATTATACATACTGTATATGTAATAAAAATAACAAGGCTTATATGAAAAACAGAGCCTAGCATGGTGGTGCACGTCTGTAAGTCTAGCACTCTGGGAGGCTGAGACAAGAGAATCCTAAATTCAAGCCTAGCCTGGGGGCAACTTAGAATTCAGAGAGACCCATATGTATAAAAATAAAAATAAAAATAATGAAATGGGCCATGAATACCCAGGAAAAGTGGACAGATGGACAGAAGGAAGGGAGGTAGAGAAAGAGGGAAATGGAAGGACAAGGAAGGGGGACCGGGAGGGAAAGGACAGGGGGTTGGCCTCAAAATCTAGGAAACTTGAAACAAGAGCCATAACTTAAGCAGTAACAATGGCAATAAAAATAGTATATCACAATTAAATCTCTTCTATCACTCACAACCAGCATCCTAAGAGTTAACTCTGAGCAATCTTTAGCATTTGGGCTCCTGTTTCCTGGAGTTCCTAAGGAGAATGAGACTGGATTTCAACAATATTAAAAATGCCACCCAGGAAAGCCTGCGTCAATACTGTTTTTTAGATCCACAGAAAAATGCCTTTGTACCTTCTCCTTTACACTTGCAGCTCCCCAAATTAATAAGAGCACAGAGGTCCCAAAAGCCAGTCCACTCAGGAAAGGCGTTGCTACGAGATTCCCACTTGTTGTCTTAAGGTGCTCATTTATTATTAAAGCTTTCTCTTATGTGTTAAGAAAACCCCGCTGATCTCTTCAAAACTACTAGTGGACTTTAAAAAAAAACCTGCACTACATTCAACATTACTTCATTTCATTGAGATCTTTCGCCTATTTACCATATGAGATAGGCATTAAAGAAATACATACTATCCCACACACATCAGACTTGATATACCTTACAAACACTACACACAAAACTGTAAAAAAAAGTTTCCATGGAATTTAGAGTGATACTAAATTTTAAACATGAAGAAAGTACAAATACAGGAATCAGGTCAAGAGGACTAAAGTCACTAACAGATTCCCACAATGTTTCTTTGCTCATGGTAACAAAAACCACATTCACATATTTCTTACCATTAACAATGTCACCTTCTTGCAAAGGTCGTCTGTCTGGAATTCCATGGCAAATGACTTCATTCACTGAGGTACAACAAGACTTTGGGAAATTATAGTAATTCAAAGGAGAAGGATAGCAATTTCTTGCAATGCATGCCTATAATAAAGAGAAAATAGTTTTTGAATGTACAAAGGGAAAACTCTGATGCAATAAATCAAATGTTAAAACATGAAAAGTGATGCTACTATAAAGAATATATTTAGTATTTTATTTTGAAGACAGCAGTATTTTTGTTTGGTTTCTGGTGTGTGTGTGTCTGTGGTGTGTGTGCACGCCCACATGGTGGTTTTCCAGATAGGGAGTCATTAAGTTGCCCAGACTGCTCTACAACTTATGGCCTCGAGATCCTCTAACCTCAGCCTCCTTAGAGGCTGGGATCAAGGTTTCTACCCCTGCAGGCAGCTGGGAGGTATAATCTTAAAGAGTACATACATACTGGGTTTGTGCCAGTCAGATATGGTATATGTAAACCAGTTTCTCTACTTTTTACTTTGAGTCAAAGTCTCACTAAGTTACTAAACTGTCTAGGCTGAGGCCTAACTTGCTATGCTCCTGCCTCAGCCTCCCAAGAGTGCTGAAATTAAAGGCATGTACCACCATGCCTAGCTGAATAGGCACTTTTGATATAATTATAATTCCTTATACTGTATACAAATAAGCCTCCATCTCTAAATAAACCAAAAAATAAATACTAGTATAATTAAGAAATGGTAACAAACTGAGACATCTTAAGCACTATACTCAGTCAAACAACAAAAATATGTTCTGGTCTGTATAACAAGGTATATTTTACTTGGATGTTTTACACAGCTGGTAGGTAAATCACAGCACGGTCTCTGTTTCCATACTGCCATACAATCTTCATGTTTCTAAAGGTATCACTAACAGCAGTTCCACTATGACTTAACTCTAAATTAAAGCTGTATCAATTACAACCAATAACTATATTCCTGTAGCTTTTCCCTTGTTTATAGGTATACTTTTTAGAGCAGTATAAATAGCAATTTAGAGCACACAGAATCAAATTGTCTTGACTGAAAAAATGCCAACTCCATCACTTACAAAGTTGCATGCCTTGGACAACTTAATTGACATCTCTCTCGCTTCCTCAGTTTCCTTATCTATAAATGGGTATGATACTAGCATTTACCTCAAGAGATTGCTGGGGTGATTAAATGAATTCATGTGAAAGATAACACTAGAGAGAGCACCTGGCCATCAAAAGTACTCAAAATGTTTACTGGACACTGGATACTTTATAGTGATACACCTAACAATACCCTAAAACCAAGATTTAGAAATTCTGAATTGAAAAATTCATAAACTTTCTTATAGTCTGACACACTGTCACACACTTTCAGACTGACTGTGTCTATCCCGTTATACCATTACCATGCAAAAAAGCCAGTTTCATCGCTGCCACACACATAATAGATATAAACATCTTTAAAATATTTACTGTAAATTTACTATAATTCACGTATCTCTGACTACCACAGCAGGTTTAATACGTTTTCTCCGTCACAGCTACCTAATGAACACTTCTGTGAACAACCTAGTCATATAACGGGAATACTCATTTCTTAAAGTCTTAAGGTCTCTGATAGGTAACTTTTATGTTTTTTAAAAAGTACTGTATTTACTATAAATACATATCTGTTTTATGGTCTTGTGGATATAAAAAAACATGGATTTCTACTAAGTTAGCTTCAGATATCATACTCTATTTCAGAATACTTGCTGTCTATAGTAGCACAATGCATTTAAAGCACTGATTAATTATCTTACAAAAGCTCAACTGAAATTTCAAAAATAAGACATTTCTGTAATCCTAGCACTTTGGGAAGATGAGGCAGAAGGAGTGCCAAGTACAAGTCCAGCCTGGGGCACTTAGTGAGTCTCTGTCTCCAAAAATAAAAAAATAAAAATAAAAAGGGCTGAGGATGTGCTCAGTGCAAAGGCCCTGGGATCAGTCCTCAACACAACAAAAAATAAAAACATAAGCTCACCTCAGAACTTAGAATCACAGACATAGTGGCTCCTCAGTATGTTTAAGGGATTAGCTCAAGGACTGCACTTGAATACCAATACCTTAGACGCTCAAGACCCTTACATAAAACAAGATAGTGTTTGCTTGCAAGCTATGTACATCTGCCCACATACTTTAAATCATCTCTACATTACTTATAATACTAATACAATTTAAATGCTACATAAAGAGGTATTATTCTCTACTGTGTAGGGAATGAAAAAAAAAACTATACAGGTATAATTTTTTTCCCCAAATACTTGCAATTCATGGTTAGCTGACTCCACAGATGCCCACAAACCAGAAGGCAAACTGTATTTAAAGATGAGAGTAACAACTGCTGAATGCTTTCTATATTTGAAATAAGTCAAGTTAGCTTAACCACGTTATTCAGACATTCAGAATTAAAAACATGTAATGTGAAAGTTTTTCCTAAGTAAAATAGTAAAGTTCTTACTAAGTGTACAGCATGATCTATTTCTTCAGTAGTCACACCTGGTTTAATCATCCCAGCAGCAATATCCAGAACTTCTCTTGCAAGCTATAAAAGAGGAACACAGCACATGTGAAAAGAAATTAAACCAAAAAATACAGGAATTTGTAGTCTTTGTATTGTCTCAGATTTTATGGAAAGCTGATAAACATGAACTTTCCATTGCACATTAATTATTATACAAAATGTTAATACACAAATTTACATAAAAAGTGGGTTAAAGTTTATTTTACTAAGTTTAACTCATTTCTCTGAAAATGTACATCCTAATTTTAATCAATAATCAACTGAAGGCTGAGTTTTCTCATATTTCTACGAAGGGTAGAGGGAAATAAAAGATAAATGAATTTTCTCAAAGAATCATAGCAAATAAATGAAAGGAATATAAAGTTCTCCAGATTATCAAAACAATTAGCATCAAGTTACTTTTCAAGTACTCCATAAAAACCTTAAGGATCACATCTAAATGAACATTATCAATGTATTACTTATTTTTTCTTTAAAAAAATATTATTTCACCTAATTAATACTAACCACTATTAGCATGCTTGATAGATATTTTGCAATAAGACCTTTGGTTGAACCTTGTGTGAACCTTAGACTTCATCCTGTGTTGTTATACTTGTGAAAACAAAATGACAAAATATCATAAAACCTAGTTCTGTAACAAAAGTAAAAGAAACAAACTGGCAACCAAATATTCATTGATTGACTGATTTCCAAATGGGCTATTTAATTAAAAAGCAACCGCTATACTATATTAACGACACTTTAATGAAAAGTATTGTCTAGTCACACAGTCTTACAATATTTGATGCATTTATAAATCATCAAATCATTAGCTTCATATTTTAAGTAGTGTTTACAAATGCCATACCCACAGGAAAAAAAAACTCTTACCCTACATACAAGTCTCATCCCTTCTATATCTTCAGATGAAAGTAACTTAATTTGAGAAGTGCCTTTAAGAGCCTGTTCAGATTCAGACATTCCTGGAAGGGAAAATTAGTAAGTAAAACCGAAACAAGTGGAAAAATACAGAATTTATTCACATAATTAAATCCCTACAGTCAAGGTTGCATTTCACATAATGCTGTTTCATATTTTGATAGAATCCAGGTTAGTTTATTTATAAAATATTTTCAACATGAAAAGGAAATGTGCTAAACAAATTGAAGGAATATTTCTAAAGAACAAATTTCAGATCTAGTGGTATTAGAAATCAGTCAATATTTATAGAGTATGTACATATTATATGCAAGGTTTAATAATCAGCTCAGTAAACAATTTACATTTGACTAGTAACACACAATTTATAAATTGCTTTCACAATCATTTCATGAAGCACCTTTGTATCAATGATTAATGAATCACTTAGTATACTGTTTTCTGAAACAGAAACTTAAAGTCAATTATTTTCAATTATGATCTTTAGTGTGCTATAACATATTTTTAAAATTAATCTTATTGGTATAATTTGACATAATGATCACATTCATCATAGGAAATTTGTGTCTGTGCATAATATATCTTGATTCTTGTTTCCCCATTCCCCTCCCCTCCCTTCAATCCTTCTTCCTTTCTCCATTTACAAAAGCTGTGTTTCCACTTTTTTCTTCTATCCTCTTTTCCTCTTTTTTCCTTTTCTCTTCCTTCTCTTCCTCCTCCCCCCTTGTTCCCCTTCCCATTTGAACATTTTTTTAAAGTAAAAAGGGACCAGAAATCATCAGACTGTATTCTACAAACTAGGGCTGGTACTACCATAAAATGTTTGTTAATTCATATACACACATTCACAGATCATGTCATAAAACCCATTTTTCACTACGGGTCACAGAAGTTTGAAAAATATTACCCTAGTAATCTGCAGTAATAAAACTGGTCTAACTCAAGTTTCACACACATTAAGAGACAAGAGTATACTAATTATTTCAAAATCTGAAAAAAAAAGAAATATACTAAGTTGTCAAGTAATCTTGAAAAGCTCTGGTGGAAAAATGCCAAATGAAATTACTACCAAACAGAAAGAAAAAAACAACAATAAAAAGAAACCATGACTTTAAGTGAGATTCATACCAGAAGGCAGGGAAAGATCAATATTAACAAATTTATTAATCAAATTTATCACAGATTAAAGAAAGAAAGAAAGAAAGAAAGAAAGAAAGAAAGAAAGAAAGAAAGAAAGGGCTATCCAGAAAGACAAGTAGGATAACATGGCTAGCTACCACCTTCATATGACAAATATAAATCTCAAACCAAGAAGCAACAGAATGATCACTATCAGCACTATTACTTAACACTGTTGTCAATACTAATAGATGCAACAAATAAGAAAAAGAAATACATAAAATTAGAAAGGACAAAATCTTACTCAATTTATATATCCCTAGGACATGACAGTCATCTGATAAATGATTAGAAATAAAAATTTATAAATTTAGCAGACTATAAGGTGAATATGTCAAAATCAGTAACTTCCCCTGTACAATGAGCTAAACAGAATACAGAAGATAATATCCATAAAAATAGCTAGAAGATTAAAGTATCCAGAGTAAATGTTACTAAAAGAAAATCTGAAAACAAAAAGATCTAAATTAAAAAGAAAAAAAAGCACCCTGCCCTTGAATAGGAAGACTCAATATTGTCAAGTTATCAATTCTTCCAAGATTAATGTATAAACTTAATACCATCTCCCCCAAAAGGCAAAGAGGATATTTTGGGGAACCAATACAAGCTGATTATAATTTTACATGAAAAAAACATACTAGAGAAGAGAGAAAAATTATGAAAAAGAGGAAAGATGGGGACAACAAAGCTTATCAAATATTAAAACATTATATGGCTATAAACAACTAAGAGTTTGGCAGTAGCACACAATTACACAAACGGGTTAATGAAACAGAAAAGATCAAAAAACCAACCCAAAGACATATGAGGATTCAGTATAAGAATATAGGCTGTATTTCAAATATACTAATATAGGCTGTATTTTACTACTTAATGTTGAAAGTAGGTCACAAATTTAATGACAAAATAGAAATGGTCAACTGGGAAAAAAAATTTTAAACACATACATATTTAAAGGGTTATTTTCCTTCACACAGAAAAAATATTTATAAATCAATTTGGAAAAAAACTAATAATCTAAGGGTAGGGATAAGAATATTAATAGTTTAAAGAAAACAGAAATTACTTTTAACATATGAAAAGATGTTCAACCTTACTTTAACTTAAAAAATGCAAACTAAAATAGCAAAATATCATTTTTCATCTTTCAGATTAGCAAAGATCATAAAGTTTGATAACACAAAATGTTGGGGAAAACAGATATAGAAGGTAAAAGATTCCCATACATTAACAGGAGATAACTCCCAAAAAGCTCTGAATTTTTTTGTAAGATATAGGCATTTAATTTTCTAAACAATATCAGCACAAACCTTTCTTTTCAATGAACTAAGAGAAATCAGTATTATAACTATCTTAACTTTCATAAATATATATATGTGTGTGTATATATATACATATATATGTATATATATACATTTTTTGCTTTTCCCTTTTCCTTTTCTCCTTTCCTCCACCTGTTTCTTCCCATTTTATAATATCTATTGTACATTTTGGATCTTATTTACTCTTTCTAAAATTTTTAACATCCTTCAAAAATCAAAACATGTATGCATCCTTTGATCTATTTTATGCAGGTAATTAACATATAGAAATACAGACAAAGATATAAATACTAGAATAGTTACTACAAACTAGTAGAAGTAAAAACATGGAAATAATATTAACCTTTATTAGGAAGGGCCTGGTTTTAAAAATTATGGTATATCGATATAATGAAATAATCTAGTCACTACAATGAAAAAAGTGACTTTATATGGGCTCATATGGAATATTATAAGATATCTTAATGTATCAAGAGAAAATACCATACCAAATTGAAAAGGTACATGTGGCATGTTCCTTTTGTGTATAAATGGGCAAGAAGTCTAATGTGTGTACAGATTATCATCTCTGGATAGTTCTGCAAGAAACTGCTCCTAGCGGTTTTCTCTAAGGAGCAGGACTTATTTTTCACTGCATAATAAATATGTATACTTTTTAATATACAAGTAAATAATATATTCAGATTAGAGAATAACATGTCCTCAACAGTATTCTATTCTCCCAACTGTCTTTTCCTGTAATTTATCTGCAACAATGGTTTTAACTAAATTTTAAAGTTATACACAGAAGAACTTGATTCTCTATATCTTAAAATACAAAGGTAGCTTAGCTTATACTAAACCATGTGAAATTGCTGATAGTCAACCATTTTGATACATAAAATCAGTAAATTTGCATAGTCCATTTAAATTGTACAATGTAAGTCCAAAAGTCAGAGGCTATGCCACTTGGCGCTGCAAATCACCTATCTTCTCTGCATGTCTCACTACATATCTATAAAATAGGGAAGACAGCATAACCTACACCGCAAAAGTGCTGGAAGTTTTCAATGGAATAACACATGCAAAAATCTTAGCAAAGTGCCTGACACACAGTTAAGAGAAATAAGCATCAGGTGTTATTATCAAATCAGCAGCAGCAGCAGCACCCTCACCGCCATTCTCATCACCACCACCACCTCCACCAGCACTGCGCCCACTCTTCAGTCAGGCACGTTCCACTCAGGCCTCCACCACCTACTTTTGCCTTAATTTAGGAGGACATGTTGAAATTAAAACTTTTTTATCTAAAAACTGACAATAACTCCACAAAATACAGAATTATCTAGAATGTAGTCTTTAGCAGCTACATAAACAAGGTTTTCAGAACTGGACAGATTTCCTAATGGGGGAAAGTAATGTTCAATTCCCTTGAATGCTCTGAAGTGGCGTAAAAAAGCAATGTTTACATTTATTAGAAGTCCAGCACTGAAAACTTCTATAAGAAAATTACTCTTTCTCTTTGCAGTCATCTTCAATTCCACAATGAGAAATAAAGAACCGCATACTAGAACTTACCTAAGGGATGATCAGCATAATCTGGTCTTTGAATATAACTTGGAACTGGCCTTGTTGGCATCTGAAAATATTGAAGAGATTATTTAAAACCTATTCACCAACAAAGAAAATAAAACTGGCAAAATTAAAAAGCTCAAGCAAAAGTTTTTAAATGGAAAAAGTTTTAAATGACATGTTAAGTATCAAGGCAGATACCTATTTCATTAAAATTAAACCTTTCTTTCCTAGTGCAAAACCACTGTTTCTTAGGAGGTTTAAGACAGGGAAGAATAATCAAGCCATTGGTGACTTTAGATTAGCTGCAGACCACAAAATGCCAGTGTTGTTGCAAAAGCACTGGTAAGCTGACAACAGTGATAAAATACACCACCACGTTCCTAGTCATTATCTCTAGGAAGCAGAATTAAAGACTGTCTTAGGAATTTAACATTTTTCCAAAAATTTAAAAGGAAAAAGAAAATCATCAGTAAAGAGACTAGGTATTTAAGGACAGGAATCAAATTTCAACTTAATTGAATTCCTATGAAAACTCTGCAAAAAACACTGAACTGGAGTGGTCAAAAGTGATCAAAAAGGCAGTTATTAAGGTACAAATGTTACATTTTTTAAAAATTTAGAAAATAATACATATTAACTCATGCCAGAAAGAAAATAACTACTGTACTTTGCCCTATTCTTCTTAGGTTTTAATCCTTTCATTGAAAACTTTCTCCACTTCTTCCATGACTGTTAATTATTTCAACTAGCTTCCAAATAATGTACCATAAGAGCCAGAGTACAAGATCTTCTGTAAATGTAACTCTGCTCCATAGCTCACCACTGACATATAAATCACAATTATTATTTACTGTAAACTCAAAACTGTTTTTTAAAAATGCTGTTTTTATTACTTTATTTACTCACCAGCGGATAATGTGGTCTGAGTTTACCAGTGTATCGATATCCTGCCCACGGGTCTGTATTAATATCACCTTCCAGGGTCCAGGAAGACACTTCTCGCTTTGCCTTTTCATCTTCTGCGGAAAAGATAAATGAAGAGATGTAAAGGGAACCAAAAGAAGAGAATGGAATGTTTCAGTGACCAAGCAGTATACTTTTATTCTCACTAGTTTAAAAATAAAGCCACCTCATGCGCAAGAATCCAGCACATCTCCATCCAACTTAAAAAAGCTACTACTTTACGGCTGTAGTGTTCACAACCCTTACAATCCTCTTAGAGGATCTAAATGTTTTAGAAGAAAAAACATTATAGGAACAGCTCACAGAACTGCTTTGCTCAATGCTAAGTGCATTCTCTCTTCAATTTCAATTTAAATGAAGTTCATTTTAAAATATGAAATATGAACCTTAGCAAAAACTTCTTCAACTGGAATTAGATGTAACAAGGGAATGCTAAGAAGAGATCCTAAATTACCTCAAAATGAACATAAAATCAAAAATAATTTTCTGCTTAGCTGATGAGTAGCTTGTAAGTCACTATGTCCAATTATTATCAAGGCTTTATGATCACCTTTTGCCTCTTTTTAGAAGGGAATACAAGGAGGAAAAGGGGAAAGGGGAGAAAATAATCTGTTGAAAGCTACTGAAAACTCAGAGAAAACAATCACATACATACTATTATTTTAGTTATTAATACATAATAACTGTGTTTACTGAAATGCATCTAAAAATCTTTTTCATAAAAAGCAGGCCCTCTGTGGTACGATTTCAGCACACAAGCTGCACCTCTTCCTTATGCATTCAAGTTCCTCCAAGGCCAAGTACAGATCTACAAATCTCTCAGTGCACATAGCTCTTCTCTTGGTTACTATCATGCAGACTGCAGACTTCAAACTAATTGTAGACATACATGAGAAAAGTAACACTCTCTTAACCTATTCAAAATATGGAATGATATGTGAGGTACTCGGTTCAGTCCTCAGCATGACCAAAGGGGCAAGAAATGGAGTGGGGAGAGGGAAGGGAAAGGACAGGGAAGCGTGGGAGGCTGCCTAGATGGTATCATACGACTTTAAACTAGAGAGGCAATTAAAGAAAATTTAATACCCCTATTTCACAGGTGAGGAACCTGAGGCGATGTGTATCACATGGCCAGTGATTTAAGAACAACAGTTCCCAATCCAATGAACATCTGCACTCCTCCAGATTCAAATGTTAGTGAAGCACACAACTGAGAAGAATGCAAAAATACAGCCAATCTATTTACATTACTTTGGAAGAGAATGTATTTATACTGTCACATAAAAAAAAAAGAAAGGAGAGGGGCTGAAGGGAGGAAAGCGGAGTGGGGGAAAAAGTTATATGACGTACAGGTACAAATTCTCTATGATGAATGGGATCATTATGTGTATCTAAAATGTACCAATAAAATCTAATTGTAAAAAAAAGGAGATTCTACTACATTACTGAACTTTAAATATGCTTTTCCCCTCTGTAGTTCAAGAAAATCACTGTGAATGTTAATAAAAACTCTCTTATCACTCTAGGACAAAAATGGACTCCATTCACTGCCACTAGGATCAAACTTCATAGAAAACTGTTCAAAATGCCTACTTCAGTTATGAATCGTATGACATAATTCTTAAACACAAATTTCAAGAATGATTTTCTCCTTTATGGAAAAGCAATCAAGATTCAGGTCTTTGTTTTAACATATGCCTGAGGAGGAAGGAGAGAGGAAAAAAAACATGTAAAATCTTTCAAGGTTTTCTGCTGATCTACAATCCTTCCCTCCCATAATCTATTTTCAGAAAAGAACTGAAAGCAGGCGTGGAATAAACAAACAAAGCTGAAATATGACAAGTTCTCTCCTAAGCTTTAGATATACTTACGGAAATTTACACTTGAAAATTGAGCCCTAAATGCTAGACGTATAGCAGGCATCTAATATACTTGTACTGAGCTGAGGCTGCAGCAAAATTGCATTAATAGCTGGTCTTTTAAAATAACTGAAAGCACAGGACACTATAAGCAAGCATCTGTAAGCTGTTTTTCATATATCACAACACAATAGGCCCAGGTTAGATATAGGTCATGTCCAAGAGCCAAAATTCCTCAGATCTTGTTTTATGCAAGGTCTAACCCAAAGTATCTCACATCCAGGCTTTATTCTTTAAAAACTTCCTCCAGCCATGTAAGATAACTGTACATGTCTAAACGTGGCCTGGGACAGGATTTTCTGAATAATGAAGTTTCTTCTTTTAAATGGTCATATTTTTGGTTTTTAGGTCATATTTTTGGCTGTTCAAAAGATATACCAACTTCTTCCACCTTTTACTTCAGGAAAAAGAGAAAAAGAAACAAACTGATACATGAGTAACACATTAACTGGTACAGAATACAACAGTCTTGAGTACCACAATGCTTACAGATCAGATTAAAATTAAACTATTTATGTACACTCTGCCAGAAGATCCAGTGTAGAACAGACACACTTAAACATGTACATGCTTTTAATTAAGGACTTTACACTCTGACAAGTCTCCTTTATGATACCCTAAATAAATTCTATTCCTAAGTCACTTAACTCATACTTGAAAATTTCCCAAGGTCTATAAAAAATATTAAGCTTCCATAATTAAGAAAATTCCTGGGGCTGGGGATTTAGCTCAGCGGCAAAAGCGCCTGCCTGGCAAGTGCAAGGTCATGAGTTCGGTTCCCGGTACCGGAGAAAAACCAAAAAAAAAAAAAAAAAAAAAAAAGAAAATTCCTGGCCCAGTTTTTTTTTACTGGTAAATTCCATCAAACATTTAAGGAGAAACTAACAAATACTACACCTCTTCCAGAAAAGAGAGGAAGAAGTATTTTTCATTTTATTTTATGAAACTAAAATTGCTCCAGTATCAAAACCAGATATTAAAAGCAAATTATGGACCAAAAGCCCAAATGAACATAAATATAAATCAGGTATCTTTAGTCAGAGATCAATATATGCTCCATCAAAAAAAAAAAAAAAAGACCGAAGCTATCACCTTCATGACAAGAATTGCTTGCTATGTTACAACACTACTACCTCTTAGAACCAAGTGCCATTTCTTAATATGGCCAACTTCCTAGCTCAACACTCTTTCCCCTAATGATTTTTTCAAAACTTTTCTAAGCTCTAGAGATCACCTTTCTTCATGGCAACCTGTTCTACACTGTCACTCAAAACACTGTACTTTGGGGCAGTTTTTTAGGATGTGAAAGACACCGGTCTGGCTGGCTGACAGTTATCTCTAACCATAGGACCCAAAGGGATTAAGAACATTTGGCTCACACACCGAAGAAAATCACCCCCAAAGACCCACGAGAACACAACCTAAAAAGATGGTACCACACTAAGCACCGTAAGTATAAATAAACTCCAAATAGCTTAGATCCAATACTATAGTAATTACACATTTTTACATAAAGAATACCTGCTATTTAATTCCCTTGTAATGTAAGTAAAACATAAAATAATTATTTCTGCCCTTAGAAATCCAGTACTTGCAAAAACAAGCATACTTTGGAGAGTTAGAAAATTTAAGAGTCTTGTGCTAAACTCTTTTACTAATATTCTGTTCAACTTCAGCCCCTTATACTTCTCTATGCTTTAACTTAAGTATAAAAAACTAACTGGCTCAGAGCTCTGCAAGGTACCTACCACTTTAGAAGGTATGTAATGTACATGTGAATAACACTACATGACTTTATTTAAACTTACCTCCATACTTTGACGTGAGGTGAAAATCACAATCGGCAACTCCTGTTATGCTTTTATAAACTTCCACTTACTCATGCACCACCTTCACTCTAACCTTATCTTCACCCACAACAGTAACTGCAGACATCACTTTATACAGTACAATCACAGAAAATATCTTTGTAAAATTTTTATTTCCTTTTCTTTTTGACATTATGACCTCAGATTTGTTTTTATAAAACAATCTACCAAACCTCCTTAAATCAAGTAACACATAAAAACATACCAATGGACAGATGAATACGAGATATCAAGATCAGTAAGCTAAAACAGCAAATTTATACAAATAATGCTGTGCTACCTGCCAAGCCCTCATCCATCAGGATGGCAATGATATAAAAGCACCTATCAATTTCTAGGTTGCTGTGATGAGCCATCATAAGACAGCTACAATAACTACATGAATTTACAATAGCAGTAGCTAAGAAGCAGTAAATAGTTTCACTTTGTGGTCTCATACACAAAGTAATTTCGAAAAAGAAAATTAAATATTAGATTGTGGAAAATAACATTAAGGTACCAAAAAGCAAAGTACAGTCATCCCTCATAGCCCAGGAAATAGGTTTTAGGGCCTTCCTAAGATACTCAGGTTCCTTTTATAAAATGGCATATATCTGTACATAACCTATGCACATCTTCTCATGTACTTTAAATCATCTCTAGATTATACGTAATATAATGTATAAGCTATATAAATGGTTGTATACTGTACATGTTCACTATAGATGCAAATTCTTTTCAAATAGGTTTGACCTACAGTTATTTGAATCCATAGATGTAGAATTCATGGATAGGGAGCCTGAATATACAGAAGGCTGACTACAATTTTGAGTAGAAAAAAATACAAATTAAAAACTGAACAACAAAACGGATCTGGCTAAATGAAGTCAAAGAGCTCACATGTCTTCTGCCTACATGAAAACAATTCTACCAAAGACATGAGGGCGCCAAAAGATTAAGATACTATCAGATATTTGTCAAGTAAGAACCATCTAGCCTAGCAAAGATCTCAGGTTTCAATGTTAAATATATGAAACAACACAACAAAGATATTATTAAGAATAAAAATAGCTTTCACATGTCAGTCCTTTGTCTGAGGAGTAGCTGGCGTAAGTTTTTTCCCACTCTGTGGACTGTCTTTTCACTCTGTTGGTAGTTTCTCTTGCTGTGTAAAAGCTTTTTAATAAGATGAGATTCCAGCTGTTGATTCTCTGTGATAGTTCCTATGCCATACAGGTTTTGTTCATAAAGTCTTTGCCTACACCTATGTCTTTCAAAGTTTTACTTATTCTATCTTCCAGTAGATTTAGTGTTTCTGTTTTAATATTTAGATCCTTGATCCATTTTGATTTTAGCATAGCGCAAGGTGATAAATATGGGTCTAGCTTTAGTCTTCTGCATGTAGAAAATCAGCTTTTCCTGCACCATTTATTTAAAAAGCTATTCTTCTTACAGTGAGTATGTTTGGCCCCTTTGTCAAAGATCAGGTGGCTGAGCGCTTTTGGAGTTCTTTCTGCATCTTCTAATCTGTTCCACTGATCCTCAGCTCTGCTTTTTCATTAGTACCATGCTGTTTTTATCACAGTAGCTCTGCACTATAATTTCAAATGAGGGATTGTAATGCCCCAAATCTTGCCTTTGTTGCCCAGAATGGCTTTTGCTATTCTAGGTGTCTTTTGGTTCCAAACGAATTTTAGGATTGCTTTGTCTAATTCTGTGAGGTATGCTAATGGTATTTTGATTGGGATCGCACTAAAGATTTATAGCAATTTTGGGGGTATGGCCATTTTCACTATGTTGGTTCTTCCTATCCAAGAGCAAGGGATATCTTTCCATTTTCTGATATCCTCTTTGTTCTCCTTTTTCAGAGTACTATAGTTTTCAATGTAAAGGTCTTTTACTTCCTTTGTTAGATTGATTCCTATTCCATTTTTTTTTAATGCTATTGTGAATGGTGTTAATTCCCTAATTTCTTTTTTTTTTTTTTTTTTGGTTTTTCTCCGGTACCGGGAACCGAACTCACGACCTTGCGCTTGCCAGACAGGCGCTTTTGCCGCTGAGCTAAATCCCCAGCCCCAATTCCCTAATTTCTTTTTCAGTGAGTTTATTATTTGTGCACAGGAATGCTATTGATTTCTGAGTGTTGACTTCATATCCAGCTACTGTACTGAATCTGGTTATTAAATCTAGAAGTCTTTTGGTGGAGCTTTTGGTATTTTCTATGAAGGGATCATGAAGATTGAAAAAAATCAGACCCTCCAAATTCAAAGACCCAATCCAAATATGGGCATCTGAGATGAATACACACTTCTCAGAAGAAGTTTAGTACAAATGGTAAATAAGTATATGAAAAAATGTTGAACACCACTGATTATTTGAGAAATGCAAATTAAAACTATAATGAGATTCCATCTCACTCCAGAAAGAATGGCCATTATCAAAAAAAGAAAAAAAAATAGTAACAATTGCTGGCAGAGCTATGGAGAAAAAGGAACCCTTCTCCACTGTTGGTGGGAGTATAGACTGGTACAACCACTGTGGAAACCAGTGTGGAGAGTCCTCAAAGAAGTAGGATTAGAGGACCCATCTGACCCAGATATTCCCCTTCTGAGTATCTTCCCAGAAGAATTAAAAGCATCAGACCACAATTATATATGTGCACTCATGTTTATAGCAGTACAGTTTGTAATAGCTAAATCTTGGGAGCAACCCAAATGCCCATCAACCAATGAGGGAAATACATATAAGGGAGGGGAAAGGAAGGGAGAGAAAAAAATGAGAAAAGGAGGATAAAATGAAAACTGGGATTTGTGAAGAGGGAGTGAGTGGAAGGGAGTTAGCAAAGACGGGGTGGCAATGGGAAAAAAAGAGGAAATAAGACCTGTCAAGGACAGCTAAAAACTCCCTACAATGAATGTGGTCATTATGTATACATAAATTGTACCAATAAACTTAAATTTTTAAAAAATAGCTTTCAAGGTCATACTTTCAGAACACTCAAATATACATTTTCAGACCTTTAAGAAATTCTGTCTTCCAGCACAAAAGCCACTTTTGAGGATAAATGGTATAAGAACAAGTGATTTTACTTACTTGCTTTCTTATGTAGTAACTTGTGAGTAGCCCAACTTCCTTTAAAACATTCCTAAAAGATCATATAAGCAAGTTAGTGCCACATCTTCCTTAATTAGAAACATTTTTAAGAAATGTTATATATAACATAATGATTGCAAAGTTTATTTGTAACAACTGAAACTTAAGGGCCTGCAAATTAAGTACCTGGGAAAAGCTTAAGCAACGGTATCTGTTCAACATTTCAATTCAAAAATAATCTGAACTTCACTTCAAATAAGCAAGTAAAATTAGTCTACACATTAAATAGTAGTCACAGTATTTCAACTTTATCTCACCAAATTATAAACCATGTGAAAAGATATATTAGCCAATTTCTCATCGTACACTGAAAAAAATTACAAAGAAATGTTTAAAAACTCTTCCATTAGTCATAGTAAATTCTCAATTAGTGATAATACATTACACCACCCATCTAACCAATTAGCGTAATTTCTACATGCCAGCAGCCCTCAGACAGGAAGCCTGGCAAAGGAGGAGACTGCATCAAAATCTGCCACCACCACCCAGACTCAAGCAGAGTGCTGGGTTATGGTGAGGTGTTGCTAGCTGACTGATCAGAATAGATAACTAGAAAGACAAGACTTCGCATTTAGAAAAATGTGTTCATGTAACATATTTAAATTACCAGTAATAAGCAACAAATTGTGAAAATAAACTCAATAATAAATTGAATTCAATAAGGAACTGAAGTAATCAGAAAAATTATTTAAGTAGTCACAGATCTTATTTATACTTTGATTTTTAGCATCTCTGTTGGGGCTGGGGATTTAGCGCAGCGGCACAGCGCCTGCCTGCCAAGCGCTAGGTCGTGAGTTCGATTCCTGGTACCAGAAAAAAACAAAACCAAAAAAAAAAACCGTATCATATTTGCTTCAAAGAGTTCCACTCCTCAAATAAATAATTCAAAATACTAAGAAAACTTACAAGTTGCTACAAATGTTTTTTGTTTGTTTTTGTGGGTTTTTTGAGATAAGAGTCTCCCTATGTAGTTCAGACTGGTCTTGAACTCAAGAAGATCCTCGTGCCTCAGCCTCCCAACTGCTAGGATTACAGGCATGCGCTACCACCCCCGGCTTACAAATGTTTTATCTTTGAAAACATAAAAGAAGAAATGGGTAAGAGAAAAGCTAAGGAAAAAAAAAAAGAAAGAAAAAAATCCCTAAGATACTAGTAATCAAACCACGTTATACAAGTAACATTAAGGCTGCCTTCCTAACAGTTTATCCAAGGACCTCTGGAGGACCAGTTTCTCCTTCCTAGGCCAGGGTCTTTACTCATACCACTTTATTCTCCTGTACGTGCCCCCCCCACACACACACACACAACTTTACAGTTTAGTAAGAAAACCCAGGTCATACTTATGCCTTGTCATACCACAACCTACAACCTGAACTGCCTCCAAAAGTATGAAAAAATATCTAAAACATTAAAGACGTATTAGTGTTGAAGGTATAACTGATCTCAGACTTTTGGAGGAGGTGGAAAGGATGGTGGGCAGAACAATGGCACTTCAAAGATGTCCACGTCCTTATCTTTGGAAACTGTAAATAAGCTATATGACAAGGGAGGTTGAGGGTGCTACCACTGAGAATGACAGATTTTTAGCCTGTTTATCCAGATGGGCCAGTGTGGTCATAAGGACTCTTAAAAGGTAGAAGATGAAGGCAGAAGTAAAGACACATAAAAGATGTCACATTACTGGCCTTGAAGATGGAGGAAACTAGCTATCAACCAAGGAATATGAACAGCCTCTAGAAACTGAGAAGGACAAAGAAGTAAGATTCCCTCTAGGTCAGAGAGGGACACAGATCTATGAACAGTTGTTTTTAGCCCTGAGCCCTGTCAAATTTGTAACCCACCAAAAGGTACGAAAACATATTTGTGTTGTTTTAAACCACCAAGTTTGTTGTAATTTGTCGTATTAGCCACAGAAAACTAAAACAGGAGATAAAAATAAGAGTGTATCCCTTGTTGTCAAACTGCAAAAAATGCTCAATTAGAAAAACAATCAGTTCTTCCCTACCTCTGTTACAGAAACTTGGTAGAAAAACTATTAATGATTCTGTTGCAAAAGAAAAAGATATTGGAATTAATCAATGGTCTCAATAAAAAAAATGGGAATAGGTGTTTTCTTCAATATGACCACATCAATACAAAAAGACAAGTCAATGTTAAACCATAATAATAAAGACAACACTAACTATAACAATTAACAATTACTGAATCTCTGCATTCTCACTTAATCCTCACAAAAGCCCTACAAGACATGTACACAAAGTATGATCCTCATTTTATGAATGACAACACTGAAGCACAGATGTGCAATCTGTCATATAACAAAACCATAATCAGCAGGACAAGGATTCTGATCCAGGATTACATGACTATAGGTCTTACTTTCTCACTGCTTTACTGTGGTATGCACATATGGGGAGGAGCGTATGCAGGTGTGTTCTGCATGTGTGTACTATATTCGAAGCATTAAAACCAAACTTGAAACTAGAAGCATCAGGCTGATCAAACAGCCACACGTATTACCTATACCATTATAAACTCTAAAATTCTACCTTCAAAACCAGGAAACAATAATAACCAGTCTTACGGATTCTCTCCTACAAAATGAGACTGCTACCAAATAGAATGTGCAATTAATATCTCCACAAGAAAATTGCAGATTAAATGAGATAATGTAAATAACATATAAAAGCAGTCAACACGATTATCTAGCACATAGCAAGTATCTGCTTCAGGATGGGGAGGTGGTCTCAGAAACACATGCTTGGGTCATTTCCTTACTGTACAGACATCAGAGTACAAGTACACAACCCTTCACAGGGAAGTCTACCACACACCTGGAACTACACAGTACATACTACTGTATATGTGGCCTGCCCCTGCCTAAAACATGACTCCATGGGAGACAATGACACCCCATACTCACCACTGTGGCTGCCACTCAAGAGGTCCTTCAGGACATACTCTAGAATGAATGAAAATTAATGTGCTCAGATGCGTGTGATTTTTTTCTCTAGCTGTAAATGGACATGTAAACTACTTTCATTACTACCTTTGGGAACAGGCTGCAAACTGTTCACTCCTTTCACCAACATAAGCAGAATCCTGCTATAGTTTAGAGTCCAACTAAAAACGTTTCCAGCCTCCTTGATAGTGGTGGCCATGTAACCTAGTCTGGCAAGGTATAAATCCCATTGTTGGGTGAGGATTCTCAAAAGCCTCTTTTAAAAAAGGTAGGCTCAGCTCATAACCATGTTCTTCTCTCTGCTCCTACCACAACTGACTCATTTACAGAACACAGAAGGTTATGTATCAATTTAAATTTAAAAGAGCAACTGTAAAAACCATCAGAGAAGCAGGGTAAAAGCAGCACGTAAAATGTTATAAAAGCTCTATGGCCCTCAGGCTGCAGCCTCTCTCCCGCTCTCAGCTGGTTTCCTGGCATGCTTCATGGGGATCTGTGTTATGACATTTAAAAAGACAGGAGAGTCTCTTCACGTGGAGAAGGACATTCTTTAGTTACTCTTTTGTGTATTGCCTGAGGCCCGACCAAGCCATGATTGTTGGGTTCTGGAGGAAGTCTAGCATAAGCATTGTAAACCCTGGGATCAATACTAGATGCTTTGCTGAGATATGTGGGAAGGAAGATAACATGATGGCTTACTGGTCAGGTTGCATTCCTATGATAATTGAGAGGTACTGCCCTTGCTAAAACAGTTGATGTCCTCCAATTCCTAGGCTGCCTCCTGGGTTGATTCTGAATAAAAGGTTTCTGAAGATGGTAACCAGGGCTCAGTCCTAGAGGCTGCTAGCACCTGATCACAAGACTTTGGCTCTCTTGGTTTGATTTATTCTTACTTTTCTTATACATCTGCGGGCACCTAGTTCCGGGGATCTGTTCACCCTGGACAGAGTTGGATGAGAAGTCTGACATAATGGCACCTAAAGTGGGGCTGGAACCTGAGTATGAAAGTCGAGCTAGGTATGAAAATAAGTCTGTGAGACTAAGGTATGAAAGTAAGTCTTCGAGACTAAGGTATGAAAACAAGTCTTCAAAACTAAGGTATGAAAGGAAGTCTTTGAGACTAAGGTATGAAAGTAAGTCTTGGAGGCTAGGGTATGAAAGTAAGTCTTTGAGACTAGGAAAGGGAATTAAGGGAATTAAGTCAGTGCTTGACTGACCAGAGAAGAGCCAACGGACGAGAACTTGAAAACGAAGGGAGTCTTGGAGACTATGGAAAAGGAAATTAAGTCAGTGTTCAGCAGACCGGAGAAGAGTCAACGGATAGGTAAGCCCGGTCTCTGGGATTGTTTCATCAGGGTTACTGTAGGAAATTTTCTGTCTCAAAAAGAATCTGAATCAGAACAGGAAATCTTGCAGGATAAGAGAAGATAAAAAGAAAAAAAAAAAAAAAAAAGAAAAAGAAAAATAGGTTAAACTGCTAGCAATTAAAAATGAAACAGTTTCAAAAACCAATGTTCATAGATATATATAAAAATGTTTGCTGCTTTCATGGTTCCTGTATTTACTTTTCTTTTCTGGATTGTGGATAGATGGGAATTTAATACTATAAAGGATTGAGCTGGGAACTGTAAAGTTGAGTCCCGAGCCCAAGCGGGACAAGGGCAGCAGCAACGCCAGAGGAAGAGGCACAAAATGGGTTCAGGGAAAGCCCTGGCCTCTGGTTCTAGGCAGACACAGCTGCCAGTGTGTCTGCACAGCCTGTTCAGATACAGCCACTGGCACACGCTACCAGCTACCAACATGTGTGCCAGAAACCCAATGGACAGGACATGACTGTGGTACGCCCTGGCTCTCCCCCTGACCAGTGCAACAGGCATGCACAAGGCTGTGCCCAAGTTTGGCACAGGAAATTCATCCAGCTAAAATCAGTACCTGCACTCAGAATTCAGAAGAAAAAAAAAATGAAACCAAAAAAACTGGACATCCAGGGGCCACAGTGAGAGCCCACACCAGGTACTAAGACTATGGAG